AGGCTGAGATACGTTCGGATAGATAAGTTGGGCCAGAACCGTTTAGGGCTTTAAAGGCCAACGCCAGCACTTTGAATTGAGCCCGGTAGCAGATCGGCAGCCAGTGGAGCTGGTGCAGCAGAGGAGTTGTATGCTCCCTGCGCCCCGCTCCTGTTAGAATCATGGCTGCCGCCCGTTGGACTAATTGGAGCTTCCGGGCTGTCTTCAAAGGCAACCCCACGTAGAGAGCGTTGCAGTAGTCAAGACGGGATGTAACCAGAGCGTGGACTACCGTGGCCAAGTCAGACTTCCCAAGGTACGGTCGCAGTTGGCGCACAAGTTTTAACTGTGCGAATGCTCCCTGGTCACCGCCGAAACCTGGGGTTCCAGGCTCAGCGATGAGTCCAGGATCACACCCAAACTGCGAACCTGCGTCTTCAGGGGGAGTGCGACCCCATCCAACACAGGCTGTAACCCTATACCCTGTTCGGCCTTGCGACTAACCAAGAGTACCTCTGTCTTGTCTGGATTCAATTTCAATTTGTTCGCCCCCATCCAGACCGTCACAGCGGCCAAGCACCGGTTCAGGACCTCGACAGCCTCCTTAGTAGCAGGTGAAAGGAGTGACAGAGTTGGACATCATCTGCGTACAGATGACATCGCATTCCGAAACTCCGGATGATCTCGCCCAGCGGCTTCATGTAGATGTTAAACAACATGGGAGACAGTATTGAACCATGAGGAACCCCACAAGACAAAGGTTGTGGGGTTGAACAGGAGTCTCCCAGTAACACCTTCTGAGACCGACCCTCGAGGAATGACCAGAGCCACTGCAGAACAGTACCTCCAAGACCCATCCCCGCGAGGCGTCCCAGAAGGATACCGTGGTCGACGGTATCGAAGGCCGCTGAGAGGTCGAGCAGCACCAACAGGGACACACTCCCCCTGTCGAGCTCCCAACGCAGATCATCCACTAAGGCGACCAAGGCTGTCTCGGTACCATGCCCCGGCCTAAAGCCAGACTGTGCCGGATCCAGATAATCCGTGTCTACCAAGAATGCCTGGAGTTGTGAGGCCACCACACGTTCCATGACTTTGCCCAAAAAGGGGAGATTGGAAACAGGCCAATAGTTGACGAATTGAGTGGGGTCCAGTGATGGTTTCTTCAACAGCGGTTTTATCACAGCTTGCTTTAAGCTGGCTGGAATTTTGCCTCCCGAAGGGAGGCATTAACCACCACCTTCACCCACTCGGCCAATCCCCCTCTGGCCTCCTTCAGAAGCCAGGATGGGCAGGGGTCTAGGATGCATGTGGTAGCTCTCATTCCTCCAAGCACCTTGTCCACATCCTCGGATTGAACCAATTGAAATGAATCCATCAAAACCGGACAAGCAGATGCTCGTGTTACATCCTCAGATACTGCCGTTAATATGGTATCCAGTCCAGAGCGGATCAAAGCGACTTTGTCTGCGAAGAACCGAGCAAAAGCTTCGCAGCGAGCTGCCGAGTCATCAGGGCACCCATCCTGAGTGGCGGGTTTTAATAGGCCTCTGACAACTCGGAACAGTTCAGCCGGACGGTTCTTTGCAGACGCAATAGTGGCCGCAAAGAAAGTTTTCTTTGCGGCTTTTATTGCCGCGGCATATGCCCTTAAAAAGGACACAAACCGTGTTCGATTTGGCTCGCTCGGATCCGAACGCCACACGCTCTCTAGTTCCCCCTTCTTTCGCTTCAACGCTGCCAGCTCCTCGGTGAACCAAGGAGCTGGTTTAGCTCGGCTACTTGAGAGGGGACGTTCTGGCGCGATCGTGTCTATTGCCCTAGTCATCTCCCCATTCCAGAGAGCGACCAGAGCATCAACAGGATCACCAACCGAGGTGGCGGGAAATTCCCCAAGAGCCATCAGGAATCCATCCGGATCCATAAGCCTCCTGGGGCGGACCAATTTAATGGGTCCTCCACCTCTGCGGAGGTTAGGGGGTGCAGTGAGTCTAAAGCTGACCAGGTGGTGGTCGGTCCATGGCAACGGAGAGATGGATAACTCCTCAACACCGCCACCTTCCTCCCATCCCTGGCAGAAAACCAAGTCCAATGTATGTCCAGCACTGTGGGTGGGGCCAGGTACCTGTTGGGACAGCCCCATGGTTGCCATGGTAGACATGAAGTCCTGAGCCGCTCCCGGCAGTCGTGCATAGCCCTATTTAACGAAATCAGGAGTTATATCTTCTAATATATCTCACCTGCTGACACCACTCTAAAGTATCCTGTTATATCTTGACACCACTATAAAGGAATCAGAGGGTATTATAACTCGGGGATATATCACGCCGCTGGTCACCAGTTTAAAGGAATCAGAATCCTACTGGCCACCAATATAATTGAATATGATTTTGGCACGGAGCGTTTATATGTGCATGAGGTAATGTGTCTGTACTTTGGTAGATTCGCTGCCACCACCTAATTTACTTTAGAAAATTACAGATATTTTCTTGAGGTAATCTTCTTCCTGCCCACCAGCTCTCCCTTAACTCCTTGATATCACTGTGATGTAAAGATGTTAAAACAAATAGAAATATGCTCACAGGAATGAATCACTGCTGAGGCTTCTTTAAAAGTTGAACTAGAGAAAATGTATATTGATAAAATTGAACAAACAACTATCTTCTTCAATGAGGCACACAAGCTTGAATGGTTACTGAGGCACAATAATCTTGATGGTTACTTCAAACAGGTTAATTGACTTAGATGTGAGTAAAACTCCTCACTCTACAATAACACAGTAGCAGTGAGTTCCACAAACTAACCTAACCAGGTTGTCCCCAGAGCAATTAGCTACACTCTAAGCAGAGTCCTCTAAAAGCTAATCTACTCTAACCCAGAGAGCAAACCACTTGTGTAAAAACCCACACAAGCACCCAGGCGTCTACCTTGACCCTCCTGGCCAATAATGCAGAATCGCCTGTCACAAATGCTCTCTGACAAAAAAAAATCTAAGCACACCAAAATCTACCTCTCTCCTCTTTCATTCCCAAAACCAACTCCCTGCTCTCTGTCAAGCTGACACTTTTCCCTCTCAGGGCTAAACTCCTCCCATCTGTCCTAACCAATCAAAAGAGAGCTTCAGCTCCTCCCCTCTTCTCCTTTTACACTCCCAAGATGTCTGCTTCCCTTGCTGACACTCCCAAAATGGAGTCCTGCCTACTGACACTTCAGGCTTCTCTTTCGGCCTACAAGGTAAGAATCATTACACCCTCCATCGTTGAAAATAATCAGAAGTGTTTTGAAAGGCGAAACTCCAGCAATAAATCTCACAACATTGAGAAATTTTCCCCTTGTAAGACACCAGCACCTTTTCAAGCATGGAGAAGCATGGATTTCATCACATGTTCCAGGGTTGAAAATAGGCAGAAATGCCCTGAAAAAAAGAGAACTTTGAACATGGGCCAGCAATCATGTCCAGAGCTCCTACCGCTTATAGCACTTCACTCACATCTTTACAACTAAAAATCAGGTGTGATAGGAACCATCAACGTTTCCCATCCTGCTTCATTGCCCAACCATCAGCAGTCTCTTGTATCCTCTTGGGTTTGATGAAGGACAATAGGATCCCATGGAATGCAGTGGTTTTAACCTTTATCTCTGTCTCTTGTATTCTCTAGGGCAGTGGTTCTTAACCTGTGGGTCCCCAGGTGTTTTGGCCTACAACTCCCAGAAATCCCAGCCAGTTTACCAGCTGTTAGGTTTTCTGGGAGTTGAAGGCCAAAACATCTGGGGACCCACAGGTTGAGAACCACTGCTCTAGAGTGCCATGCAGATCAATAAGATCCCATGGAAAGCTATGGTTTTCACCTGAATCACTGTCTCTTGTCTCCTCTGGGGTTCCATGCAGATCAATAGGATCCCTTGGAAACCATTTTAACCACTGTGAGTCCCTTCAGGGGAGATAAAAAGCAGGGTATTATTATTATTATTATTATTATTATTATTATTACAACCTGGATTGCTGTTTCTTGTATTCCCACAGGAAGATGAAGTTTTAAGCAGGTGCCAGTCTCCTTTAAAGTAAGGGGCTTTGGATAGGGCAAGAAATCTCTTGGTTTTTGGATAGTGTTGTTTCTCGTGATTACAAACAAAAAAGTTATTCTGACCTTGTGATGAATGTAAGATGAATGCATTGCCAGCTCTTAGGTTTCCATGTGTAAGTGTGATGGAGAGGCAGAACTCTAAACGGGACTACTGATGATATAAGAGGGGCAATTTCCTACCTTAAAGGGGCAGTCACCCATGCTTTCCCATCTCAATCTGATGAGGTCAATAGATAGGTATGAATCTCAATTGGAAGAAAACTGGGGTATAAATCAAGCAAATATATCCAAATACATATAGAGAAAATGTGGGAGGGGTGAAAATCTGCTTCTTGTTTAAATAATCTAAATGAAACTATTGGGGGGGGGGGGGAATCTAAAACCAGCAACGATATAAACCAATTGAGGGATATTGTTCTATATTATTGTGTTCTATTTTAGTTTTTCAATTTTTATGGGAAAGTGTCTGCTTTTTTTTGGAAACATACTATTTTAGACATGCAAAATAGTTCGTTTTGTGGTAAGAGGTTTTGCAAGTCAGTACTCTTTGCTCTTTTTTTCATTGCTGGGCAATACAACTTTTGTTAGCCCTAGTGAATAAGAGTAGATGTCTCTCATTTAATACTTTATTTTCAGACCAAGACTGACTTTCTGCATGATCATCACTCATTTGTGTAAAAATCCAAAGCAAACTCCACCCATCTTTTCAGATTTACACAAATCATCGTACAGCCAAATTCCCCCAACCTTGCGCTCATGCAAAATTGCCAGTGAGACTTTTGACTGAGCAGAAGGGACTGAATTTGGCTGGTGTTTTGAATAGCTTTCACAGATTTATGCATGCTGTTTCTTCATTGATTCACAAAGCTCATGTGACTTACTTCCATCCATGTGACCTCTTACTATAGCCATCATTCCATTTTTCTTTCCTATCAGAGTGAAATTGGACACAGCCCTCCTCCTGCCTACACCCCTATGTCAGGAGTAAGTATTTCACAACCAACCTTCATCATTGAGGGGTTTGTCATTTTTAAAAACATATCCTTTCATTTTCTCTGCTGTTCCTCCTATCCTCTTTCATTCCTCTTATTCTAGGTATTTAACATCAGCTTCATAGCAACTTCCTATTTTCCTTTGTGGGTCAGTGTTGCTAATTCATCATTCCCACCTTTCTGGATAACAGGGGATGATTATATTTTCAAGATAAGGAAGTGCTAAATGGTTTGGAAAGTCACTCTCGGGTTTAAATACATCTTGTGGGAATTCTAGCCCTGAAAAGCTGCAAGTGTTGCCCTGGCTCTGGCACTGCTGATGAAGTTGTGTGTTTGTGTCCACCTGCCCACATTCCAATCAGTCATCAGATATTGGAGTGGGTTGAGAAGGTGCTGTGTGTCTTTAAATTTAATCTGAAAAAATGACTGTGAGATGGATGATCTTCAAGCAGAGATAAATGAATATGGCAGATACAGATGCCATCAGTTTTAAAATCTGTGCATTAAAAAGTTTGATTTTGGTTGCAAAGGAAAATATAAGAACTTGTCTATGATATTCTCCCCTCCAACTTCTATTTCTCCAATGTATGTTTGTGTGGAGCATGAGTGTGCACTCCCTCTTTCTGTAACCTACACACCTTTCCGGTTTTCAAGGACATCAGATGTCCATCCATACGTACTGTATTACATTTGAACACAACACATTGCATAATCCTAGATCAATTAAGCAGTTTACAAATTTTATCCAAGATGTTGCTCTTGTTGTTCAGGGCTATGTCTTTTAGATGTTATGGATATACAATGATGTGAAAGGTAGAGAGAAAGTAGTCGTTCCCCCCAAATGTAGCAAGTGTTCGGATGTGATCAAATGTTATTTATAGGCAAGGTTAGAAGAACCAATTATAACAATCAGATTACTGCTTGTGGCACGTCTTCTACTTCTGTTGATGGGATTAACTTTGTTTCTGATTTTTGTATCAATATACTGCTTTCGCTGTCTTTTGACTAGGGGGTTCTGTACCTCCATCTCCAGAAAGTGACATTTTATAAGTGGGGGGTGGGATAGGAAAAAGCAGCAAGAGGCTGGTTCCTTTCACTCATGGTAGGGCATGGTTAGGGTATGCAGGCACAGCAGAGAGATCCACCTTCATGGTGTGTATCCAAGTCTGCAGCTAGCTTTTTTACTAGATGAACCCTGGAATTAGGGAAGAAGTGTTAAATCACTAAGCTACCCCCATCCAAAAGACCTGGTGATATAGTATCCTCAAGATCCTCAGAAGTGTACTAAATGAACAAAGACCAATATACACTTATTTACTTTAAACACATGGAGGATATTTCTAAATACACATTGTGTTTCTAAGAGTCTTCATATTTAAAGGTTTTTTTTTGTCATGTCAGGAGAGACTTGAGAAACTGCAACTCACTTCTGGTGTGAGAGAATTGGCCGTCTGCAAGGATTTGATGTTTTATCATCCTTGTGGGAGACTTCTCTCATGTCCCCGCATGAGGAGCTGGAGCTGATAGAGGGAGCTCATCCACCTCTCCCCGGATTCGAACCTGCGACCTGTCGGTCTTCAGTCCTGCTGGCACAGGGATTTAACCCACTGTGCCACTGGGGGCTCTTATTTATTTATTTAAAGATATTTAAAGATGTTTCAGTGATAATGGATAGGGAGAGTAATTTACCCACCCCTTGTAAGTACCTACAAGTAAGCAAAATTAAAATCTCTCGCACCCAAACACATATCCAGAAATATGTTCCAAGGTCCGTAAAAACAACAATATCAAGTTCAATGGACTTGCTTGTTGCTATAAGAAGTAAGGATTTCGATCATAGTTTCTAGCACTAAACACTTGAAGAAGGAATTATATTTGAAAGATACATCCCATATATGTGTAACCCCTTCACCAACACTGTGCAACAAAATGTTTTAGAAGTCTGTTCCTGGTTTGAAAGTGTTATTTCCTGTTTAATTGTGCAGGGCTTACTTTGAAAATAGTTGCCATTCTCCTGAAACTTTGTTTTTATGGCAAAGGGAAGTACTATTATTTCCTTCAGTCTAGTCTAGGCACTTTGTTTATAATTTTTCTTAATGAAAATACCCTTTCAATGTGCAGACCACAAAAACAAACTTTTTGCAGTTTAATAAACTTTTTCCATGTTGATATGATAGAACCAATTAGGAAATGAAATTCATAACCCGGGAACAAAAATCATGTTACATAGTGAATCGGCCAATATGATGTAGTGCAGGGGTCCTCAAACTTTTTAAACAGAGGGCCAGGTCACAGTACCACAAACTGTTGGAGGGCCGGATTATAATTTGGAAAAAAAAATGAATGAATTCATATGCACAATGCACATATCTTATTTGTAGTGCAAAAAACACTCAAAACAATACAATAATTAAAATGAAGAACAATAGTAACAAATATAAAATTAGCATTTCAATGGGAAGTGTGGGCCTGCTTTTGGCTGATGAGATAGGATTGTTGTTGTGCACTTTCAAGTTGTTTCATACTTAGGTTGACCCTGAGCGAGGGCCGGGTAAATGACCTTGGAGGGCCATATTCGGCCCTCGGGCCTTAGTTTGAGGACCCTTGATGTAGTGTTTGAGTGTTAGACTAGAGTCCAGGGTTCACCATAATCTTTCAAACAATTCAAATTGCTGAAATTGTGACAATCCACTCCAGTTGGAATTGAGAAAGGCATCAATAAAACAAACATTTGTTGGGGCCTGCTGAACAAAATGCTAAGAACAAGATACAGTATGCGATGTTAAACTCCAGAACATAAAGGCTTAAACCCAATTGTACATTTTAACTAGAATAGAACCATTCAATCAAGTGTGCCCTTCACTTTCACTGGCAACCTTGTTACATAGCTGCTGGAGTTGGCTCTGTGTTGTCAGGGGGCATGGAGAACCCATGCTACATGCCCCGCATTGCTTGTTTCCCAGCTGATTCCATGGGCGGGGGATGTGTGTGGAACATGTAAGCCTCCTGTGTTGCCATGATGGCAGCATGTGTCGGCTCCACCCTTCTTCACCCATGGAACTGCACTGCCATCATTTGATGGGAGTTGGTGGGCTCTGTGGGTGACCTGAGCTAAACTGGTGCATGCCGCCAAATTTAGCTCTTTGTGATGAGGTGGGTATGTTTCAGCTAGTACTAGGAATTTACTAATTGTATCCCTCAAATCATCAACTTCCTTTTTATTTTATACTAGCTGTCCCTGCCATGCGTTGCTGTGGCCCACATGGGGGTTCTGTGTGGGAGTTTTGTCCCAATTCTATCGTTGGTGGGGTTCAGAATACTCTGTGATTGTATGTGAACTACAAATCCCAGCAACTACAACTCCCAAATGTCAAGATTCTATTTTCCCCAAACTCCACCAGTGTTCACATTTGGGCATATGGAATATTTGTGCCAAGTTTGATCCAGATCCATCATTGTTTGAGTCCACAGTGCTCTCTGGATGTAGGTGAACTACAACTCCAAAACCAAAGGACACTGCCCACCAAACCCTTCCAGTATTTTCTGTTGGTCATGGGAGAACTGTGTGCCAAGTTTGGTTCAATTCCATCGTTGGTGGGGTTCAGAATTCTCTTTGATTGTAGGTGAACTATAAATCCCCGCAACTACAACTCCCAAATGACAAAATCATTTTTTTAGTGGAGAACATGCATTGGGTTGTTAGGTGTATGCTGTCCAAATTTGGTGCCAATTGCCCCAGTGGTTTTTGAGTTCTGTGAATGCCACAAACTAACATTACATTTTTATTTATATAGATTATCTTACATGGAGTTCTATGTTTTTTTACAGAACCAGTTTATCTACAGAGATGGGATGCTGGCTGCAGAACAAGGAGTTCCTTTGCCATACCGAGCTGCCATACCAAGCATAGCACCAGAACCTCCCATCTTGCAAGGTGCTGCAGAAATCTGTGATGATACTTGCTGTAATGGCACTTTACGGAAACAGGTAGCTAGTCTTTCACAGGAAGACAGTATCACTCAGAGGTACAGTGCAGACCCAACTGGCTTCATATCAGAGCGGGGGCCAAGAAATGAGCTGGATGAAGAAGGCTACATGACTCCAATGCCAGAAAAGGCAAAAGCAGGTAAATACCCAGCATGTAACAACAATAGCATAATTTTGATTGGGAACACCAGAATGTTATCTCCATCTAAGACTTTCACTAGATAGTCTTCCAGATGCTTAAAACAGTTATCACCTAGAAGGCAGTACCATTCACATGTTTACATTCCATTTTTCTTCTAAGGTGATCAGGCACATTATATATTTTTGTTATGTTATATTATAGCAGTATTCAAAGGGCTGCAAGGTAAGTATAAGGAAAAATTTGCCGATGCTTTCTTCTTAGTATGATGAGTTGTTGGAAGATTTGTTACACTAAATCATTTCCTCTATCAGTCAGATGAAGCCCCAGATAGATAGATAGATAGATAGATAGATAGATAGATAGATAGATAGATAGATAGATAGTTTTATTTATATCCCGCCCCCTCTCCCAGAAGGGACTCAGGGCGGCTTACAGCAAGTAACAGTTAAATCTATCTATCTATCTATCTATCTATCTATCTATCTATCTATCTATCTATCTATCTATCTATCTATCTGATGGTGCAGGATCTCAGCCTGCATTTTTTCCAAGCAGAATACTGCCCAACATCTGTGGCAAACTGTGTGTGTGTGTGTGTGTATGAAAAGCAGTTGCCTGAATAATAATATTTGTTTATTTGTTTATTTAAAACACTTATATTCCGCCCTTCTCACCCCGAAGGGGGCAAACATTCAATCCCTGGGTACAATACATAAACATCAAAAAACATTTATCTAAATATTAAAATACACCATTTAAAATAACACAATTTAAAACCGTCCTAGCCATCCGCATCCAATCCAATTGGCCCTGTCATCTTTCCCATTGTCGCTTCATTGCCCTGCCCTGAAAGCTTGGTCCTACAGCCAAGTTTTTACCATCCTTCTAAAGGACAGGAGGGAGGGGGCCAACCTGATCTCACAAGGAAGGGAGTTCCATAGCCAGGGAGCAATCACCGAGAAGGCCCTGTCCCCCGTCCCCACCAATTGCGTCTGTGACAATGGCGGGATGGAAAGCAGGGCCTCCCCAGAGGATCTTAATCTCCGCGATGGTACAAAGAGGGAGATGCGTTTGGACAGGTAATTTGGGCCGGGGCCATTTAGGGCTTTATAGGCCAAAGCCAGCACTTTGAATTGTGCCGGTAGCAAACTGGCAGCCACTGGAGCTGGCGTAACATGGGAGTTGTATGCTCCTTGTATGCCGTCCCACTTATTAACCTGACTGCCTCTTGTTGGACTATTTGAAGCTTCTGAGCAGTCTTCAAAGGCAACCCCATGTAGAGTGCGTTGCAGTAGTCTATTCTAGATGTGACAAGAGCGTGAACCACCATGGCCAAGTCCAATTTCCCAAGGTACGGGCGCAGCTGGTGCACAAGTTTTAATTGTGCGAACGCTCCCCTGGCCACCGCTGCAACCTGGGATTCCAGGCTCAGTGATGAATCCAGGAGAACTCTCAAGCTGCGAACCTGTGCCTTCAAGGGGAGTGTGATCCTGACCAGCACAGGTTGCAAACCTATACCCTGTTCGGCCTTGTGACTGACCCAGAGGACCTCTGTCTTGTCTGGATTCAACTTCAATTTGCTCACCCTCACCCAGACCGTCACAGCGGCCAGGCACCGGTTCAGGACTTGGACAGCCTCCTTAGCATCATAAGCTTGTTAGTACCAAATAAAGTAAACCTGATGAATCACTAGAACTTGTGTATAGTTAATTTATCCGTTGACTCAAATGGACTACTGTAGCTAGAACTAACAATTGGAGATAGACTGATAATGTCCAGCTTACTTCCGCCTTTGAGAGAAGAGGGGACCATTTGGTGGAGGGAGAAGGACTGTCAGTCTTAAATTGTTTCTGTGGTTTCAGTTACAATTCTAAAAGAAATTTCCTGAATAGTATCTAAATTCTCTTCTCTGGAGTCCAAGATTGCTGTTTGCCCCATCCCCACTAGCAGAGACAGCATTGTTGGTAAATTCCAAAATACTCCAAAAATGTCCATCTGGGTGACTGAGTGTGACCCCTTTACTTTCTTCTGATGTTTTGATGTGCACAGGCTGTGTTTCATGCTCGAAATTTTGAAGACATCATATTGCCTTCCCACTCTGTGTATAAGGTATATAATTGAATGTTGTGTTTACATTTGGTCCCCTTCTCCAAGGTATCACATCATGTACCTATATGAAAACATAAATATTCCAAAATCACCAACAATTCTGGTCCGCAAGTATTGATATCTGAAAACGATATTAGATTTGTTCTCAAATTAGTGTTATTCTCAGCTTCTTCGTATTTTTCTTCTTAAATTCCACTAATGGCATTTTCACAATCTGCCAGGCAATGTGATGATTATGGTTATTTTGACTGTGTTGTTTTTCACTGGGGGTGAAAAAGCAATGGAGAGAAGATGTATTTGGCACTGCTCAGACATTTTAGCACATTTTACTTAGTCCTGTGAATATTTTAGATTTGGATTTCTTGGACATTTTTAAGTTTTTAAGAATGTATTATGTTGTAAAGTGTGGGTTGTATTATGCTATGTTTATTTATGTTGCCATATAATTTTTTATTGATTTGTTTTTTATCTGTTATATGATGTTCCTGGTTTTTTGTACTGAATGTTTGTCACAGTGTCTTTTATTGAAAGCTGCCACGAATCCCCTCGGGGAGATAGGGTGGGGTAAAAAGAAATGTTGTTGTTATTATTATCTATTTTATTTTATTTATTTTATTTATTTAACTTGTATACCGCTACACCCAGTTTGGCTCGGAGCGGTTTACAGAAACAGAATAAAACAATACAATTAGCTTTAAAAATAACCACAACAATAACAATAGGCAGCGAGGACAGACATAGCCTGGGTTGTTCACCCAGCAAAAGCTTGCCGGAAAAGAAAAGTTTTACAGGCTTTCCGAAAAGCAAGTAGGTCCCAGATGGTTCAAGTTTCAACCGGCAAGGCATTCCATAAATAAGGGGCCATGATCGAGAAAGCTCTATGCCTAGTAGATGACAAATGATAGGTCCGGATGGTAGGGACTTCAAGCAAATTTTGGTCTTCAGACCGAAGTAATCTCTGGGGTTGGTAGGGGGATAAGGGGGTCCTCAGGTACGCTGGCCCCAGACGATATGAGGCCTTAAAGTTTAGTACTAGCACCTTGAAAGTGATCCGGTACTCAATCGGTAGCCAGTGCAGCTGTTGGAGAATTGGGGTGATACAACACTTCGCCGGCACCCCGGCGAGAAGACGAGCAGCCGCATTTTGCACCAGCTTCAGTTTCTGGATCACTGACAAAGGAAGGCCAATGTAGAGGGCGTTACAGTAATTATTAGTAATTATTATTATTATTATTATTACATCTACTCAAACACTTACATGAACCATCTCCCGCTCAAGGGAGAATTGCAACAAGATCCTGTTTCATCTATTGCAACAGATTGCTCACAGGGGTAGGTGGGAATTCCAGTTACCTGCTTCATGATCAATAGAGGAACAGACCCCCATTCAAGCACAATAGCTGATGCCCAGTGAGAGGGGATTGGGGAAACTGGGATGGGATTCCATTCAGAGCTCCACAACTATTCATAGCTCCCCAACAGGATTATGACAACCTTCAATAAAGTTGAATAAACTGCAGTCCACCTCATTAGTGAGTTTGGATACCGTATTAAACAGAGAGCTACACATGACAAGGACAACACTATATAGATATAAATTAGTAGTGTCTCCGTGGTGGCTAGAAATTAGCAATTGTTTTTCATGTACAGGTTGAGCACTCCTTATCCATAAATCTGAAATTGTCCACATAGGTGCCTGAGAGGGTGACTCATTTACTTTCTAGTAGGTCAGTGTACACAGCCTTTGCTTCATGCACATAATTATTAAAATATATTCAAACTATGTGTAGTCATAGTCACCTACGGATGTGAGAGCTGGACCATAGGGAAGGCTGAGTGAAGGAAGATAGATGCTTTTGAACTGTGGTGTAGGAGAAAAGTTCTGAGAGTGCCTTGGACCGCCAGAAGTTCCACCCAGTCCATACTTCAGGAAATAAAGCCCGGCTGCTCACTAGAGGGAAGAATATTAGAGACAAAGTACTTTGGCCACATCATGAGGAGACAAGAAAGCTTAGAGAAGACAGTGATGCTGGGGGAAGTGGAAAGAAAAAGGAAGAGGGGGCAACCAAAGGCAAGATGGATGGATGGCATCCTTAAAGCAACTGCCTTGACCTTGAAGGAGCTGGGGGTGGTGACAGCTGACAGGGAGCTCTGGCGTGGGCTGGTTCATGAGGTCATGAAGAGTTGGAAGTGACTGAATGAATGAACAACAACAATAACATGTGTATAATATATATATGAAACATAAATTAATGTCTTATTGGGACTCTGGGGAGGCCCTGCTCTCGGCCCCACCTCTATCACAAGTGAGGTGGGGACGAGGAGCAGAGCTTTCTTGGTGGTGGCCTCTTGCCTGTGGAATTTGCTTCCCAGGGAAATTAGGTCATCGTCATCCCTCCTCTCTTTTAGACGGAAATTGAAAACATGGATATGGGACCAGGCCTTCGGGTAATCTGGCGGCTAGACAAAGGACAATGACGACTAGATTCGATAGGATTTGACAATATGGAATGAACTACGGATTCTGAGCTTGGCGAACGTTGAATATTAGACTGGTTTTATTAATTGTGATGTATAATTGGATTGTTTTTAATTGTTTTGTAACTGCTGTTGATACATGTTTATTTTGTTATCTGTTTGTTGGCATCGAATTGTGCCTTTTGTAAGCCGCCCTGAGTCCCCCCTCGGGGGTTGAGAAGGGCGGGGTAGAAGTGCGCGAAATAATAATAATAATAATAATAATAATAATAAAGTCCCATCTTCAAGATATCTCATTATGTATATGCAAATAGATGTACGGTATTCCAAAATTAGAAAACAATATGAAATCCAAAACATTACTATTCCTAAATATATTTGATAAGGGATGCTTATTGACATGTGTAGTCTTGATCTGAATGAGCTCATTGATCCAGACCAGGCTCCTACAGTATATGGATGAAGGTTAACTTTCTTCTTTAGCAATTCATTTTTTTTAAGCTTATATAAAGGTAATTGCCTTAAACCAGCTTCTACTCACAAGTGATTCATAGATTCAGCAGATTTTCTCTAACTGATATGCCTTTTCTATTTTCCAGATCATCTACATCCAGTGGAGGAGAACCCATTTGTGTCTCGGAGGAAGAATGGTGACCTGCAAGCCCTGGACAACCCAGAATATCACAACAACAGCCAAAATGGGCCACCCAAAGTGGAGGAAGAATATGTGAATGAGCCATGGTACCTCAACACCTTTGCCAGCACCTTTGAGAATTCTGAATATCTGAAGAAAAATGGGCTTCCATTGCCTGAGAAGCCCAAGAAGGCTTTTGATAACCCAGGTTACTGGAATCACAGCCTGCCTCCACGAAGTACCCTACAGCACCCGGACTACCTGCAGGAATATGGCACAAAATATTTTTACAAACAGAATGGAAGGATCCAGCCCATTGTGGCAGAGAATCCCGAATACCTCTCAGAGTTCACCCTGAAGCCCGGCACTATGCTGCCTCCTCCACCCTACAGACACCGAAACACAGTGGTGTAATCTCAGATGTCTTCAAGAAATGAGGAATCCATACCAGCACACTCTTTTCTCTCTCACACCCTCTCTTTTTCCTCCCTCCCTTCCTCTCTTAATTTCTCGTCTCCTTTTCTTAACAGTCCCCCTACCCTCCATCCTGCCCCCAGTTTGATGTCTACAAATCGAAAGCTATATTGAAGTCATTTGTTCCAGAAAGCTGGGAAGAGCGAAGCACAGATAAAAGATGGGGAAAAGCCAGCCGTTTCTCACTTTTCATGCAGCTGGAAAAGGAAGAGGTCAGACAAGCCCATGAATACTAGTACAAGCCAGTGGCAGTGTTGCCTGCTGTCAAGCTAGTTCTCCGTGTAGGGATTCAGTTTGGATGCTGCAGGGAAAGTCACACAGTGTCAATTTCTATCAGTGGGAAATGCTGTGCGCTGCCGGAGCATTCCTGGAGAAAGCAATGCCATTTTGGAATGCGGGTGGGGCTGTGAGGTGAAAAAAGGACAATTTTTATATCATAAGTAATGACATAATAACTGAGATTGAGAATCCAATTTATTTCTTTAACACTTTTTATTCTGCCACCTAAACACAATGCCTAACTGAGCTTGCTATACCCATTGGCTTCACCGTGGCCACCTAAGGAGTCATGTCAAAAGATCTGAAAACTCTTCTCTTCTGCCAGTTCCCTTTTTGCATCATTTTTGGGTAGTTTGGGGTCTGTTTCCTAATAGGAGAGATCCCATTATGCCATGCTTCTGTACATGTCAGCATCACCGGTTTTCTACAGATCAAACAAGAACAAAAATTATTTCAGGATCCAAACAACAAAATTATAGGGAAACACAAGCATCGTGCATCCTGAGATCAAAATATCTACCAAGATTTATATGCATAAGGCCTCTTGTTCATATTTTATACTTGTTGAATACAAAATATAGTAATTCTCCCCTCCATTTCAAATTTGAAGGCACTAGGCAACACTGAAGATTGTAGAGAGTGGGGGAGAAAATTAACTTTTTATGTTATTTTATTTTCCTTTTGGGTAAAATCCACTCGCTGCTAAAGGAGGCAAAGTTGGGAGGGAGACTTTAAACTGGAAAGAAGACCGTGGCTGGGTAAAATGCACATGGCAGATCACTGGAAGATTAGTTTGCACTTGTTTTGCCTTGGGTTTATTTTTATTTTATCCTCACTTGGAACTGTATTCTGGAATCTGAATGAAGCAATATGGAAGTGACCAGCAAAATAAAATAATTTAAAATGTAAAATGAATTATTATAATATATTATATATTAAAAATTAAAAAAAGAGGACTGTGGAATTGCCAAAACAAAGTGAAATCAAGCCTTTGGAACTTCACCCATCGAGGCAGCGATTGCTCATGGGAATATAATGGGAATATAATGAGGTTGCCTCATGAAGGAAAGTGGAGCAAACAAAAATGGACTTGCGGGGGGAAGGGTAGAGAAAATGGACAAGACTGACTTGAACTAACCATGAAAACACTACTGTGAGACAACTGTCTGCGAATTATTGCTCTAGCACAAAGAAGAAATGCTAAACAAGAATTTGGAAATTAGGATTGTGCAAAACCGTTATGTTCTCCGTCATATCTGTAAATAATTTCCGTGCACTTACAAATTTCTCTTCATCTTTGGTTTTTGACATGCTGATTTTTTAAATTTTATTTTTAGCTTCTTCCTTTCATAGTTGGGATGATTGTTTTTATGCTAGAATTTTAATTGTAGCTTTGACAGTGGAATAAGCCAACTGGCACAAAGGCATGGGGAAAGGCATGGGGAAAGGCATGGGGGAAATTGCCTTCATTGTCCTACCTTAATATATTTGAAGGAGACTATGGGAGAAACCAGAGTATCATAGCATATGCACTTTAGGATTCATTAAAGTCCAGAGTAGAGAATAATAGAAAGGGAACAGTGTAGAGCACTCTTCTTTGCATGGTAGCAAAGCAGTGACTTTTTTTTTTGTCGTGTCAGGAGTGACACCTGGTGTGAGAGAATTGTCCGTCTGCAAGGACGTTGCCCAGGGGACGCCTGGATGATTTTGATGTTTTTATCATCCTTGTGGGAGGCTTCTCTCATGTCCCCGCATGAGGAGCTGGAGCTGATAGAGGGAGCTCATCCGCCTCTCCCTGGATTCGAACCTGTGACCTGTCGGTCTTCAGTCCTGCCGGCACAGGGGTTTAACCCACTGCGCCACCGGGGGCTCCAAAGCAGTGACTGAAACAAAGCAAGGCCTTCATAAGAGCAGTGGTTCTCAACCTATGGGTCCCCGGGTGCTTTGGTTTCCAACTCCCAGAAATCCCAGCCAGTTTACCAGCTGTTAAAATTTCAGGGAGTTGAAGGCCAAAACATCTGGAGACCCATAGGTTGAGAACCACTGTATTAGAGAAACATGGTAGGGAGTGTTTTGTGATCTCCTCTGAGCTTACTCTGATAAGCAAAAACAGCTTATGCTTTCAGGAGATTACACATAACAATATTATATAGCACAATTCCTAAATGTATCAGGCAGAGAAGAACCAGGGAGTAGAATTCAGTCCTAAGATAGTTTCACACCATGCACAACCTGACCAGTACAGATTTCTACAGCACATTATTTTAACTCTCGTGGCACTTGGTGTGCTCAGGCAACAACAGCTCCATATTCATAGAATCAAAGAGTTGGAAGAGACCTCATGGGCCATCCAGTCCAACCCCCTGCCAAGAAGCAGGAATATTGCATTCAAATCACCCCTGATGGCCATCCAGCCTCTGTTTAAAAGCTTCCAAAGAAGGAGCCTCCACCACACTCTGGGGCAGAGAGTTCCACTGCTGAACAGCTCTCACAGTCAGGAAGTTCTTCCTAATGTTCAGATGGAATCTCCTCTCTTGTAGTTTGAAGCCATTGTTCCGCGTCCTAGTCTCCAAGGAAGCAGAAAACAAGCTTGCTCCCTGCTCCCTGTGGCTTCCTCTCACGTATTTATACATGTGAGAGGAAGCCACAGGGAGGAGGGAGCAATTGGTGATCTCTGTGTAGCAGAAATGGATAACTATGAAATTTGGGTAACTTTTGAGATTCACCAAATTGGTTTCATAAGTTTAGTAAGGAAAATTGAACAGTTTTGGCTTTTCTGAAAGTGGCAGGTTGAAAAATTACTTGGTACCTTTGGTTCAGAGACCCATGTGTCCTATGAACGTGGCCCATCAAAATAATAAAAGTATTATTAATTCATCTAGAGTTTTAAAATTAGTGCTGGATTAATAAGGAGGCTAAAAAGGCTCTGGCTATTGTGCTGTTTGCCCATCTGTGCACCAATTCTTCGTGGTTAGTTGTGATCTAGGGCCATCTGTTTTTTATAAGACTATCATGTTTTAAGTAAAATGAAGAAAAAGGTTATTAAAACATGAAAAGGTTAGCGTTGTAAAAACTTCAACAACAAAGGTTTGTGTGCCAAAATTACCATTGTAAAAGACAACTCCCTTTTATTTATTATATTTATTTATTTACAGCTTTTATATTCCGCCCTTCTCACCCCGCAGGGGACTCAGGGCGGATTACAGTGTACACATATCTGGCAAACATTCAATGCCAATTTTGACATACAAACATATACAGACATACACAGAGGCTATTTAACTTTTCTGGCCACCAGGGGAGCTGTCGCTTTCATCGTCCATCTGCGACACTGATGAAGTACTTCCGCATTCCCCGCATGCTTTTTGCTGGAGTGCTTGCTGGAGTCTTTTTTATGGCCTCATAAATTAGTTAATTTAGCCTCCCCACACTTTAAGGTTGTACCTAATTTTCCTACTTGACAGATGCAACTGTCTTTCAGGGTTGCAAAGGTCGACAACAGGCTACACACAATTGGTTGGAAACCCACTCCAACCCGGGCTGGCTTCGAACTCATGACCTTTTGGTCAGAGTGATCTTAATGCAGCTGACACTCAGCCAGCTGCGCCACAATTATTATTATTATTATTATTATTATTATTATTATTATTATTATTATTTATTTAAAATATTTGTCTATGGGATCCCAACAAGTTTCTTAAAGTAAAACACAGAGGTAAAATCTTGGATGGGGGGAGGGCAAATTAAAATATTATTGTTGAACAACTTAGGCTTGAAAATAAGTTTAAAACAATGAACTAATTGTATGCTTGCTTACCTGATTTGTATACATGAGTTTGTTCCTGCCCATGGGGCCTGGTGCAGCTCTTTTATGCCCATGAGAGCGTAACTCATTGATTCTCTTATTAACAACATTATCTTCTACTGCCATTGAGATCTCCATAACTTAGGATTATAATGGTGCTTCGTGTCCCCTTTCCTTGTTGTAGAGAGGGGCTGGACAGAAAATAAGTGCTACTTTTTCTGATTCTCTTATAACACTAACTTCATATAAGCTCACCAGAACTGGAATAAAATTTATCAATCTTTTGGTTTTGGCATTGGATTGCACTCTGAGCCAGTCCTCCGAGGACCACAATAATATGGAAACCTTTGTATCTTCTATCACAGTGTAGGATCTTATGATTTACTCATCCCTTTAGTAATATAGGTTGATATTTTAGTGACAGATGGACGTATTCAGAGTCCATTTATGCTGTGAGGTATACTTCCTTGTGTATATCTTATGCCTTTTAACTAATTCCAAACTATGCATTTGTGAGAGTAAAAACTTTAAAAACCCTAAATAAATGAAACAATCAAAATGGACCTATATGCTGTATGAATACATGAGCTTCCTTGAGCTAGAAACCATAATGTTTCTACTATGTTTCCTTAAAAAATAGGCAGAATAATCCCAAATTTTATCCTATTTGTTCAAATTCTGCATGTAGTGTGTTAGATTTCCCAGTTGTGAAATTTATTTATTTTTTTGTCGTGTCAGTAGCGACCTGAGAAACTGCAAGTCTCTTCTGGTGTGAGAGAATTGGCCGTCTGCAAGGATGCTGCCCAGGGGACGCCCGGATGATTTGATATTTCTATCATCCTTGTGGGAGGCTTCTCTCATGTCCCCGCATGAGGAGCTGGAGCTGATAGAGGGAGCTCATCCATCTCTCCCCCGATTCGAACCTGCAAGCTGTAGTCTTCAGTCCTGCTGGCACAGGGGTTTAACCCACTGTGCCACCAGGGGATCCAAGTTGTGAAATTACATTTTAGGATATATATATTTTTTAGATATAAGCATTATTTAAACTGCTTTGGAAAGTATAAGTCATGGCTTCTACCAACATGTTTAACCTGAAATATTTGATTATAAGCTTCAAACAGAGTGGGGAGGGAGAAGTTTTTTTGCTCGCCTTCATATGATAATGTCCTGATACTTGAAGCAATGGATCTCCTCACACGTGTCACTGGAATAGCTGAGGATTGCCGCAAATTGTGGCGGTTGCAGCTGCGCCTGTCCAGGAGATGTGGGGACCTGTTGCCCCACATCCCACAAAGTCCTGGCTTCCCCCTTCACTCATCACATGGGGGGGGGGGGAAGCATCAGGCAGTCAGCTCGACCTCTAGATTTCTATGGAAAGACAGGATGCTTCCCGGCTATTTTTTGGTGATGGAAGGGTTTATTTGGCGGTTTCATCAAGGAGTGGGAGCCCCCGGTGGCACAGTGGATTAAACCCTTATGCCGGGAGGACTGAAGACCAACAGGTCGCAGGTTCGAATGCCGGGAGAGGCGGATGAGCTCCCTCTATCGACTCCAGCTCCTCTTTGGGGACATGAGAGAAGCCTCCCACAAGGATGATAAAAACATCCATTCATCCGGGCGTCCCCTGGGCAACGTCCTTGCAGACGGCCAATTCTCTCACACCAGAAGCAACTTGCAGTTTCTCAAGTTGCTCCTGACATGAACCAATCATGGAGTGGCCATGGAAGTACTTCTCTGGGGTGTGATGGGAGCTGGCAAGCTCCATGACAAAACTAGTACAAACTCATTGCTGCCGCTAAAAAATTGCCCGTGTGAAGAGATCCAAAGTTACATTGGACCTTCTTGGTCTTAAATGAAGAATGTGCCATAAGTCTTGAGGAAGACAGATATGTGCCACATGAGGAGCCCGAAGAGTCCCATAAGACTAGTCTGATTCAATTCACCACTGCATTTTTGAAACTGACTACTGTGAATTAAAAAATGCTCAATTCACATTCAGGGGTTAGCCTGCATCCTTCCCAAGTCTACCCAAGCCCATCATAAATGTTAAAAATGCTACAAATAATGGTTTTAAATTATCAATAGAAAATAACAATTAAAAAACTATGTCCAGTCTATGCATGGTTTGGAAGTTAGAAGTTCCTGGAACTAGATTACAAAGTAGTCTATCAAAATAGTATCCTACTGCTACCGTCACCCCCACCCCGGAAGTCCCTGAATAGACTCAGAAGCGGAGTGGGCAGATAAAAAGACAACCTGGCAAAATGGCACTACCTAAAAGAATCCCATACCTTGTGTGACTGTGGAGCAGAACAGACAACTCTGCATCTGTATGCTTGCCCATTGTGCCCTGCCTCATGTACAGAGGAGGAATTGTTAGAGGCTACAGACAGTGCCATTGCTGTTGCCTGTTTTTGGTCAAAAGATATTTAGCCGCCTGCACACCTTCTATTTTTATTACAGTATATTCTGGCATATAAGACTACTTTTTAACCCAAGAAAATCTTCTCAAAAGTCAGGGGTCGTCTTATACGCGGGTGTAGTCTTATGCATGGGAGTTGTCTTAACTCTATATTTTAACTGGAAAAGTTGGGGGTCGTCTTATACGCCCAGTCGTCTTATATGCCGGAATATAC